GGGACGGCGACGGGGGCGAGGGCGGCTGGGGAGTGGAGGAGGGTCTTGGTGTCGCCATGCGCGCCGCAGGAGGGCCCTGCGGAGCCGCGCAGTGCTGCCCGTGGTCAGCCCGAGCGCCGCCGCCGACGATTTTCCTCTTTTCTTCTTTCTCCTCGTCTTCCTACTCCTCCTCCCTCCTCCTCCACGTCTTCCTCCTCCTCCTCCACGTCCTCCTCATACTCGAACGGTAGCCTACTGATAGTTCCTGCCTCCTCTGTCCTGTCCAATCATCTCCGCTATCCCGCTGCCATTTCGGTTCGGGTACGTAGGTCGGCCGACCTACGTGCCCGTGTTAATCGCGTCTTAGACACACCCCGTTTTCAGATCTGCTCTCGCACAAAAAGGTACCCCTTATCTTACCATCCGTTTTATAGTTGGTCGCGGAACTTCGGCCCCCGTCCACTACCTCTCGCCGCCATGGCCCGCGTGGCACCTCCGCCAGTGCTTTGTTCACCTATTTCTACCCCGTCATCCTCATCGTGTTTGGCAGGAGTGTCCCGGGCGGTCTTGCTGTCCGTGTTCATGGTCTTCGTGTCCGCTAAATCGGACAAGAGGTACACCAACCACCACAAGGACATCATCGAGAATTTCAAGGGGCGCGGCGCCATCCCGCCGTTGCCTGCTTCTCTCCAGGGGCCTTCTGTTGGAATCGCTTTCGGAGCCACACGTCTTGCCTTAGACTGAAAAGGAGGAGGAACCACCATCGTCCGCATCCGCAGCCTCGGCCAGTGGGCCCGAGCTTCTCGCAACTGTGTTGCGGGAGCCCCAGGCAACGCAAGCGGATGAGAGTTCAGATGAGACTGGGGAGTTCAGTGGAGTGCTGGACAACTATGTTGTCGTATAGGGACAGTGAAACAGGCGTGGGACTACCCGCCTTCGTTACCATGATGCACGACATATCGGCGTCCCCGCCGTATCCCTTCATATTGGCAGGGCGAGATCCCGACGCGAGCTCGTCTGGAGTATCGCGCAGTTGGCGGTTGCCCAGCACAGTGACGACGCGACCCGCGATGTGGCATGTCCGCAATTGTGTTGCGGAGTCCCGAGTGCGGCGAACGTGGCGGCGACGCGACGCACGAAGGGCGCGCTCGCAATTATGGCGCGGGATGCCCCGAGTGCGGTGACAACCGCAACGACGCGACAACAGATGACACCCTATGCGCTGACGACGAGGAACGCATTCGGGGCAGGGGCCCACGAGGGCTCCGAGGCTCCTGGTCAGAGCAACACCGTCAGTGAGCCCCTGGTCTCCAGCGCCTCCTTGATCTATGGAGGGACCTCCATTCCAGAAAAATGGCTGTCGGAGTGGGCATGCTTGCCCTGGCTGGCAGCCTCGCCTGCGTGGGCGTTGGTGGCGGCGACGGCAGCGCGGGGCACCCGCGCGCCTGGGGGCCCGAGCAGCATTCTCGGTTGATCTTCCAGCGCTGGGTGCGGGAGGTGATGATGTCGTCAGTGGTCAGTGGCGAACTCGGACCCCAATGAGTTTCGCCAGCAGGCCCACGTCTCATCTCGCTTCGCTGGCATGGCCCGAGAATCCGCGGGCAAGTGGCCGCCTGCTGTCCTCGTGCAGGGAGGCGCCATCAACGGCGACCCAGTTCCACCGTTCCACCGATGGCCTTCCTGATGCGCAGGTTTGTTCAAAGTTGAGGCCAATTGGGCGAGGGGCGGCGCGCCGCGGCAGTCTCGGCACTTATGACCTTCGATCGGTTGCCGGAGGGGGGCCTAGATCACGCCCTCGCGCGTTTTGACATCCTTTGCAACCGCGCCCAGCAAACTGGTCAACTCATGATCGGTCACGAGTGTCTCAGCTTTCTCTTGCGCGAGGTCGGAATGTCAAACGCGCAGTCGACCATGGTCTTGCAGCGCTGCTGCGTGGCCTGCCAAACCAGGGCAGCACAACTCGCATGTGCGTCGAGTCAGCTGCGACGCTTTGGGCATGTGATCGAGGGGTCGCCTGGCAATTTCGCCTCAGCGATTCACTCCGCCCGTCGGCAAACCTTCCCCGCGGGTGCGCCCGCGCGGGCCGCAGCCGCTGTCGAGCTGGGCCTACGTGCCGTCGGTGGCCTCTTCGGCGTCGGCGCGCCATGCGGATGAAGCTCCACTTGGCCGCCGCCATCGGCGCCGGCGCCCGCGCCGCCGCCAGTGCCAGGCACTCCCTCTGGATTGGCCCCGTTCGACGCAGACAGGCGAGCGGGCGTCAGCCAACCATCGGGGAGAGTGGCCGCGTGGTCTGCCGGCCGCGAGACATGGATATCTGGCGGCAATCGTTTCCAGCGCAGTGCGCACTCCAGTTTCGACTACATCCGGCGACGACACCTCGACGAGTTTCACAGCGCGCAGCGGGCACTGGAGCTACTGCGACAGCGCGTACCAGCAGCGCCAAGCCGCGCGGAGTGGGGCGGGCGACTCACCTTCCCCCAGTACTGGCTGCAGCGCCAGCTGCACCTCCAACGCTTGCTGTTTCCAACGGCGACGATAGGGGGCGCCCCATCTGTCTCGAGGCCTTCGTCCACGGCGACGGGGTTGTGCGACTACAGTGCCGACGCACCCGGCACCGCGCATGCCGCCTGCACCCCGCGCAGAGCACCGACGTAAGCGTGCCGCGGACCAGCCGACGTCATCGCCGACTTCCGCTTCATTGACGCAGATCGTGCGCGCGCGGACCCGACGCCTGTGGCGCAGGTCCGCGATGCGCCGGCAGGAGATGCGCCGCTGGGGGCGCCGCCGCAGCAGGACGCAGCACCTCCTCTTCGGCCAGCTCTAGCACCTGGGAGGCAAGATGTGCTGATATCTTTAGAACATGTTTCCAGTTCTGCGTGCCCTACGAGCGATGCCCACCTGGACTTGCACATGCTTCCGTACAGGCCTACATCACATGGGCCTACACCCCCGAGGTGGCCGATCTCGCCGGGTACAGGCTCGAGTTCCCGGGGCGACATGCCGTGCTACTTGGCATGCACATCAGGCGTCATCGTCGACGCCGGCGCCTGGACCAACCTCGGGGGGATGCGATTCGCCTAGAACTTAGCCTGGCGAGCTTTGCAGGCGAAGCTCCAACCCTCGGAGCAGAGGTGGCCCGCTCCACTATATGTGGCAGGAGTGGGCAACGGGTCACAAGTGGCGAACTGGGAAATCCATTTGCCCCATCGCCACAACATCATAGGATGGGGTGACCATTCAGCAGGCGACGCTATCCCTGCCCTGATCGGTGTGCAACCCGTGCAGTCCAACAGCGGGGTGGTGGAGACATGCGTGAACCACAAGCGCTTCGCATTCGCGGACCTGGGGCCCAGGTTCGATGAACTTCGACCTGGGGTCCGAGTGGGCACCTTTGCATCACAGTCGACTTCGGCGAGCTCCAGCCGCGCTGTGGGGGCATGCCTGCAACTCATACTGCCGGCGGTGGGCAACGACAGCCAGGGTCACCCCGACGCCGCGTGGACAACCCCGCCTTTTTCTGCGCAGAAGGGCGGCAGAGGCAAACAAAAAGAGGAGGAGAGGAGGAGGAAGAGGAGGAGGAGGAGGAGGAGGAGGAGGACGAAGGGGGAGGAGGAGGAGGACGAAGAGGAGGAGGAAAAGGAAGAGGAGGAGGCGGAGGAGGCGCCGGACCTGGTGCCGCCTCCTCTTGCTCTTCCGTCCTCCTCCTCCTCGTCCTCCAAGCTTTTCCTCCTCGTCCCTTCTCCTCACTTCTCCTTCCTCTTGGTCCCCGTCCGTCTTTGTCCTCGCCAACGTCGTCGTCCTGGTGGTGGTGCTGCTGCTGGTCCTCCTCTGCAGTTGCTCATCACGGGTGCTGCTCACCGCTCTCGTCGTTGCTGCCCGCTGGTGCCGCCGCATCTCCCGCGCGCGGCGTGTGTCACGCAGGATCGCAGACACGTGCATTTTGGTTTGGTATGCTTTGCGATTGGGAATGCTTTCGGACATTCGGACATTCGGCCTGCAGTCGAGGTGCCGCGGGGGCATAGCAGTGGGGCGCTGGGGCGCCGCTATGGGTGAAAATGGTTTGCGTGACGCAAGGCACAGACGAACGTTAGAGAGAGAGAGAGAGAGACACACATACAGAGGACGGAGAGAGAGAGAGAGAGAGAGAGAGAGAGAAAGAGAGACACGCACACACAGAGGACGGGAATGCTTTCCGAGAAAGCTAAAACGCATACTCTCGATGGTTGTTTGTTTAATACACATATAACGGCGCACCGGGTCCGGGGGCCCGGGGCCGGGACCCCGACCACAAATGTGCGCCCCGGGGGGCCCGGAGGCTCGTCGGGGCTTGCCGGAGGCCTCCCCAGTCAGACAAGACGGCCCAAGAAGCGCCCAAGACGGCCCAAGAAACTTCCAAGAGGCCTCCAAGAGGGCTCCGAGATGCTGAAGATGGCCTCCAGACGTCCAAGGACGCCCCCAAGAGGCCCCAAGAAGCCTCCAACATGCGTCCCAAGAGGGCCCCTAGACGCAAAAATTGGCCCATTCCCTTCGTAAAACGTACATTTTCAACAAAGTTGTCTTTTGGGCTTTCCGACGTTACAGGACGGCCCAAGAGGCGCCCAAGACCGCCCCAAGACGGCCCAAGAAGCTTCCAAGAGGGCCCCAGGACAGCCCAAGAGGGCCCCAAGACGGCCCAAGAGGCGCCCAAGATGGCCCAAGAGGGCCCCAAGACGGGCCCAAGAGGGGGCCCAGAGGGGGACCACGAACCGCAAGCTCGAGCCTTCCGCCCCAAGAGGCCGCCAGGAGGCCCCCAGGAGGCCCCTCAAGAGGCCCCAGGAGACCCCAGACGTCCAAGGACGCCCCCAAGAGGCCCCAAGAAGCCTCCAACATGCGTCCCAAGAGGGCCCCTAGACGCAAAAATTTGCCCATTCCCTTCGTAAAACGTACATTTTCAACAAAGTTGTCTTTTGGGTTTTCCGACGTTACAGGACGGCCCAAGAGGCGCCCAAGACCGCCCCAAGACGGCCCAAGAAGTTTCCCAG